ATTTCACAGATTTCCCTGTAGCTAGGTGAAGTCATGTGATTTAGTTCTGGACAATATGATATGAGCAAAAGTAATGCATGCAATTTTAGGGGGAAAAGGTACATGGCTCTTTATTTTCTCTTTTACTTGGTCCTGTTGACTGAAAGGTGAACATAACAGTGAGGTCTAGAGCAGCCATCTGGACCATGAGATAAAAACTACCTGCTAAAAGTGGCAAAGCAACATGATTAAAGAAGCCTAGACCTCTGGCATCATAAAGACATCATATTAAGCCAGGACTGCCAATTTGGACTTTTACATCAGAGAAAAACAAACATCCATGGAATTCACATCATAAAATTTTCAGCCTAAACCACCAACATTGATGGTGGGGGTAAGGGAGACGAAAGAAAAGGAGACACAAAAAGACTTTACCAGAATTCTAATAGAGACCTGTAGTCGGTTCTCCTGTATGTGTTTATGCAGTGTGTGTGTGTGCATGAGCACATGTGGATTTATTTGTCATAGTTAATTTTCCTTCGAATCTCCTGGTTTTCCTTCATTAGGGCAATTTTTAGAAATAAAAACTACAGCATTTTCAATGACCTACACTAAATCTAAGAAATCACTTTGAAATTTTATAGATGAGAAAACAGAGACGTGAGCAAGCTGAATGATGAGCCCAAGGCTATTCTTATAAAAAATAATTAGGTCTTTTTTTCTTTGTAGCTCATGAATGAATTTTTTTTTTTTCTGAAGAAACAACCAAGCTATGAAAGAAAAAGAAAAAAAGAAGAAGAAGAGGAAGACATTAAGATGTAGTATTTGCATGACAAAGCATATATTACTGTAAAATCAGTATGAATTGTGAAATGCACAGGGAAAACAATGACATGAAGACCATGAATAGTTTCCAGAGTGTGTGAGAGCACTTATACAGAAGAGATAATGAGCTCCCAATGAGGGCACTAGAGTATGCTTTCATCTAGCACAATCTACTGCCAACTGAAGAGCACTGGTGATGGTCCCAAAGGTTTGTACTGTACAGGGAAAAATAGTTAAGTGTCTAGCAGGTCATTCAACATTTATGCAAATGGGAATTAAACTAAAATAAAAGCATCTATATTATCTATAAAGAAAAGCTAATTAGAGCATAAATGAAATATTGGGTGTGTTGAGTTCAAAAGCAATCTCATGAGAACTATGCACCTACTCCCCACTTCCCAAAATGTATATAAACATCGACATATACATTATATGTTTAAAACATTTAATTGCTATCCTGGCTGGTATGGTTCAGTTGGTGGAATATCCTCCCATGTACCAGAAGGGCACATACAGGAGGCAACCAATGAATATCTCTCTCACATAGATGTTACTCTCTTTTCTGTCCTCTCTCTTTTCCACTTTCATCAATAAAATTAATATTTTGCTGCTTTGTAAATTGATAATTCTTTCACTCTGATAAAACACAGATAATATTTTTTAAAATCAGTTTTTAATATAAAAATCAACAGCTACTTTATTTTTTAAGATTAAAAAAAGAAAATTTGATACAAATATAAATTTCAAATGTATTGTATGACTTTGTATATTCAAAATGCTTAAATTTGTAGTGATTACCAACACAGAATTAGACGCATAAATCTTCTTGAATTATGGCAACAAATGCTTAAAAACCAGGACTCCTAGAATTATGACTCTGGTAGCAAATATACTTGGAACTCATGGAATATATTTAGCCATGAAAGAGTAAATTTATGTCAACAAACACCAGAATTCACTGCAACCTTTTGAGTGGAATCTACATTCATTCTTCTTTTCTTCTAAGTGTAGGAGGTCATATTTGGCAATAATCAGAGGTCTGTCTCACCAAGGAAAGGATTACAAACTCCATTTAAACTTTTAGGTCACCAAAGTATAATTAACCTTAAGAAGTATTCTGCTATGTTTCCAATTGTCTGCTAATTTTTGCCAGCAGATGAATTTATGATACTCTATAACTCTGAAATTCAATTTGCAGAAACATCCTGAAGCACTGGAAGATTCCTAAGGCACTTTGTCCAAATGGACTTGAGATTTTCATCTGTATCCATTAGGTTGACTGCAGAACTGTGAACTAAAAGTTTTACCTCATTCAAATATCCAAAAATATATTTCAAGTAAGCCAAGCCATGAATAAACTCCTCCTTTTCTCTGAGAATAGCTATTCTCTTTCCCATAAGCAAGTTAATAAATGAATAAATGAATAAATAAGACGGCTGCTATTTAAACTACAATGTAGTGATTTAAGACATATCCTTTAGGAAACCATACTACACTTCTCAATTACAGGGAATCTCTTATTCTGCTTCCGTTACTTAAGGAACTTGTTGAAAAGGTAGGGGTTAAAAGGCTTTGGCTCTGAAAGAGTTGGTTAGTTTCAGGGTGGTATCTTTCTGGATTACTCTCACCATTTCTGATGCTGATACATGCCAAGCCAATTGAAAAAGACATGAGTCATGGGGACTTGAAGTTCTTTCTTCACAGAAGCAACAAAACCAGATGTACTGCCAAGCATGGCAAGTTCTCCATCCATGCCTAATGTACCAAACCCCACTTTTCACCATGTCAAAGATACCAAAAGCCTTTCAGGTTTCAAAGGTACCTCACAAATATGGAATTTGCCACGTTAGTATACACAAAACACATGAAATCTAGAAACTGGCTGCAAAACATATTTATTTCCTACAAACTGAATGGGGATGTTGAATGAGAAATGGCTTTACTTCCAATTTGACAATGATTTATTTCAAAATATTAGAAGATACCATCAACAGTACTATAGTGTGTGTGTGTGTGTGTGTGTGTGTGTGTGTGTGTGTGTGTGTATGTGTGTATCCTAATATATAAAAACCCTGGGTCCATCACATCCACAATGACCAGAGGACTGACCAACCAGAAGTCAGTCCTGCAGATTGCTATGTCTGCAGGCATGATGACCCAGCACTGACGGCTGAGGGGGGCTGTGAATCAGTCCCAGAGAGAGGTCTGGGGAGAGAAGCAGGGTCTGATCTATAGCCTCTGTGGCAGCTGTTAATCAGAACTTGTGTCTCACTTTCTTTCCGGGCCTGGCATACCTCCATTTTTCTCCAGGCCTCCACCAAGGCTGCTGATCAGCCCCTCCTTTCTGATCAGGACCTGTTGATAGGCCCAGAGATGCTGACCGGCATAGAAACTGACCAATCAGAACCAAATCTGGGTCAACTGTGAGGAGCCAATGGCTGCCTAGGAGGTGAAGCTTTTGATGCTGACTGGCATAGAAATTGACCAATCAGAACCAAATTGACCAGCAGAGAAGGGCAGTTGGGGGTAAGATCAGGCCTACAGGGGAGGGCAGTTTGGGCAAGATCAAACCATCAGAGAAGGGCAGTTAAGGGTGGTCAGGCAGACAGAGGCAGTTAGGGGTGATCACGTCAGGAGGGAAGGGCAGATGGGGGCAAGATTAGGCCAGCAGGGGAGGGCAGTTGGGAGCAACCAGGCCCACAGGGGAAGGAAGTTTGGGGGGGGAAGGGACCAGGCCTGCAGGAAAGGCATTTGGGGGCCATTAGGTTGGCAGAAGAGGGCATTTGGGGTGGGGGCAGGCTTGCAAGTGAGGGTGAGATCAGGCTGGCAGGGGAGTGGTTAAGGGTAATCAGGCTGGCAGGCAAACGTGGTTAGAGGTGATCAGGCAGGCAGGCGAGCAGTTGGGAGCCAGCAGTCCTAGAATGTGAGATGGAAGTCCGACTGCCAGTTTAGGCCCTATCCCACAGTGATCTAGCCTAAACCAGCAGTCAGACATCCCCCAAGGGGACCCAGATTGGAGAGGATACAGACTGGGCTGAGGGACACCCCACTAGTGCACAATATTTGTGCACTGGGCCTCTAGTATATATATGTAAATAATTGTACAGTATAGATAGTCATTGAATTGTACAGGAAAGAACATTGTATGGGCAAACTAGACCTTCTTATTTAACTTATTTTAAATTACCATTTTAAGTACTTAATTTATTGGAACTTACATACATTGGCAGCTAATTTGAAAAGTATATATCTTCTAAATAGAAGCAATTACTGACACCAGTCTCTCTGTATTATTTTCTATATGATAGAAAATGATTGGAAAAAATGATTCAATATTTTGCTTCAAATATTTCTCTAATTGATTAAATTCCTATCTGAGTTAAAAAATTTTATCAATAATTTTTAAACCAATTTAGTTCTAGGACAAATTGTCAGTAACTGTCTTTAAACTTAATGTGATAAAAATGACCCTCTTTTTCTTCTATTACAAAGCTCATTTCTGATTGGTAAACCACTGGTCAAATGCAGATAATTTAATCTCTAATTATCCCTTAAACTTGGGTAAAATATACAAACAGTAAGCATAATACTTTTGATTAATAAATCACTGGTCTTGATATGAGGTATAAGAACTGAGAAGGACAAGCAGTAGATATCCTTGTCTGTAAAGCATGTAAGCTTTGGAAAGCTGGGATTGAATTATTTCTATTTTAAAATTTCTAAGTTTTATACTATAAATAAGACATCTTAATTCCTAATTATAAATTCTACTACACTTAATTATATCATTTTATAATTCCAAATACATCCTGATAATAGAAAAGTCATAATTATTAAATATTCAAAGATATATTATTTTCTTTCTTAAAATCAGTATTTCCCCAAATGTATTTCAATAGACCTTGTTTCAATTGTCTAAACCTTCTGATCTCACTTTTCAGAACTGCTTCTTCATGCAATTATCTCTAAAATATATACTTAAAGCTTTAAAAACTAAACACATGTTCCAATAATTAATTTTCATAATTCATTAAGATAAAGCATTGACTGTAACTTCGAAGCATTCTTCTAACTTGGAAACCACATACTTTTCAAATTTTTATTTCTGAGATATTCTGAAAATAATACGCTAATTATTTCAATAATCCCTCAGATGCGTTCTGATATTTTACCACATTTTGTGAAGTATTACTTACAGAAACATCTTTCAGGTTTTTCTCAAAGGAAAAAAGACAAGACTCTTTAGAAAAATTAAACTTGTATGCATCTGCTGGTCCTGCTCCTGACACCAATGCTTTTTTCAGTTCATCAACATATTTTTCTTTTTCCATTGCCATGTCATCAGCTTCTTGGGAAATCGCTGATTCAGAAACTATGGAAATATTAATAAAAAGTTTTGAAATAAATTTCTAAACATATGAACATATTCCTTTACTTGTTGCTACTAATTTATCACTTATGTAGCAGAAATTTAAAAAGTAAAATAAAACCCCACACCATACATTTTTAAGTCAAATTATACCTTTTAACTAAACTCACAATTTTTGAGAAATGCATTTAGTTTCAAATCTTATCTGAAAGTATTAGATTCCTTGCCTTCTTTCTCTTCTCAGATGAAATGCATGCCTTGTAAAATACCATAGAAACTACTATCTTATGTACCTGCTCCAAGGTCATAGCCAGAGAAATAATTTCCAATAATCTTTATAAGCTCAGTATTTTACTACATCTATTATTAAAGAGATTAGTCAGCAGTCTGTTTCTAACTCACAAAGGCAGAGTCAAATTAAAGTAAAAGTGGAGTTCCTTCTTCTTATCTCAGTACTAGAGGTCCAATCCATGAAATTCGTGCAAGGGCCTTGGCCTTGACCCCCACCTGCCATCACAACCAGGGCTTCTGCCACCTCTCCCTGAGCCCCCGTCCACTGCAGGCTTTGTCCGGATGGAAGGACATTCAGAAGGACATCTGGTCTAATTAGCATATTATGTTTTTATTATTATAGATTGCCAACAACAGAAAAGGTGAGGTGATGAGGAAGGAAAGGGAAGGGAACTAATAATTATAGAGTGTTTCCTCTAAGGCATACACTATATTATAGACTTGGCTTCCAGTTTTCTCACCTAGGCATTTTTAAAGCTCAGGTTTTATTCATCCTTAGGGATATTTACTTCAATAAATATTTTTTTCTTTTTTTAATATATTTTATTGATTTTTCACAGAGAGGAATGGAGAGATAGAGACCAGAAACGTTGATGAGAGAGAAACATCGACCAGCTGCCTCTTGCACACCCCCTACTGAGGATGTGCCCACAACCAATGTACATGTCCTTGACCAGAATCGAACCTGGGACTCTTCAGTCCGCAGACCGACGCTCTACCACTGAGCCAAAGCGGTTTCGGCTCAATAAATATATTTTCAATTTTGGATACTGTTTCTTTGTCATAATCTGGTTTTAGTAACACATTCTTTTTAAATATTTGAAGTCTTTAAAAATACTTAAATGTCTTTCATATCAGTCTTTATGCATATTTCCTGGGTACAAATTCCATTTCTTCTATCTGCTTACACATTCTCAATATGCTTTTCTACTTTCCTGCATGGAAAATGCATGGCTATGTTTAAGCACGGCTCTCTCCTATAGCCAGACATACAGAGCTCTGGGCAGTACAGGTGGTACTAAATAAAACTGTTGGTTTGCCGGTTCAAGTCAGTCCCTACGGATGTCACTGTTCTGGAGCAATTTTGAAAATTAATTTCTTAACTTGGTTTCTACATGTGAGACAAATAATTCAAATTTAAACCATCCCACCCAAACATAACACAGGCTTCAGGTTCTTATTTTTGTTGGGTTATTCATTTTATCTCTTACTGATTCTGTGCTGCATTCCCAACTAGAATATAGTTTGAGTGGATTTTTTGTTGTTGTTTTTTCAGGATGATTTCATTAACATGATAACATTTCCAAATTTCTTTCTATATATAAAGAGCCCAGCTCCAATTCCTTAAGAGGCCTGCAGTCTTAATATCATATCTCACTCAAATATTACAATCACAGACATCTAGACATATGCAGTTCAGATATTCAATGAACCTATATAGTCAAGCTTTTGTTGCCATTAACCACTCTGGTTTTCAGCTATCTCCACATACCTGGCACCTGGGGATTTCTCTTTCTTACATTTCAAATGTTGCGATATATCTTGTTTCTGTTTGCTTTTCAAATTACAAGGTTTAATCCACATTTGTTTGGAATGAGTGTGCAATTGGGTAGTTTTCCGTGTCTGATTAAGCTACCACAAAGATGCAAGACCATCGGTTCTATATTTTTACACTTAAAGGTTACATTTATTTATCCCATTCCTCATAACACTGAAAGATAGACATTATTTTCATTTTACAAAGGAGAAAATTGAGGCTCAACGAGATCATGTAATAGTCTGGGGTCATGGAGTCAATAAGCGGTTAATCTACAATTCATATTTATGTCTCTCTGGTTGTTCTATTTGGACATGAGGCAGAGATATGAGATGTGGGATAAACTATCTTCTTCCATGATACTGAGAAACATTAAGATGAAGTATTACAGAAAACAATGAACTCTTGATAAAAGAATCCGTGAAAATACAAGAGGTTTTCATAATGTTCATCTGTGTGCTAACAAGTATCTGGAAGTCCCATGACAGGCAATAAGGAAGCGATCCATATATATTTAATGAGCAACTTTTGATAATAAGTCTTATATTGAAAAGAGTCTCAACACAGCCTTTGAAGACAGGTAAGAATAAAATTATCTTATATTCTTTTGTGATTTTTACAGTTTCTAAAATATTTTCACATATTTTTTCTCTCTGAAGCAGATACACATTTAAGATGACCATCACTATCAAATCTATTCACCTTTAAAATACCCTATTAGCCCTTCGGAAACAATATACAAATAAGAAGATAAATGCTTTCTAATTGAGGAATCCTATATAATAAAAGCATAATATTCAAATAGACCAAATGGCAGAACAACTGGTCGCTACGATGCACATTGATGACCAGGAAGCAGGCGCTCAACACAGGATCTGCCTCCAGCCTGCAAGCTCCAGGCCAGCCAAGGCAGGTGCCAGCAGGGCTCCTCCCGCACTGATCTCGCTGCCAGTCACCCCACAGATCGGCCCTGATCACTGGCTAGGCCTAGGGACCCTTCCCATGCATGAATTTTGTGCACTGGGCTCCCAATAATTTCATATTTTGTGATTGGATAATTTTAAAGAGTTGCAATTAATTCACAAGAGAAATAAAAATCTGTAGAAGCCATCTTTAATGCAGCTATTGACAAACGTATAAAACACAAAAAAAGAAAAATAGAGATAAAACATAGTTAAAAGTATTCTATACTTCACTAAAATGAAAACTATCTGAAAATATTTAGTATAATTTATTGATTCATTTATTTAAAAACACTTCCTGAACTTCTAGTATGTGCCAGTCACTATTCTAGGGATACAACAGTTAGAGAGAGACAAAAATGCCAATCTATAGAGCATAGATTCAGATAATAACATCTTAGATATCATCTTATGTTATCCCATCTGTGAATGCTGCATTGATTATTATGGAATATTTCATTTTAAAGAAGAAAAAAACATACAAAAGAAAATTATCTTTCTTTTTCTTAACTGAATTTATTGGAATGACACTGGTTCACAAAACCCCATATATTTCAAGTATACAGCTCAACAAAAAATCATCTACACACTACAGTGTATACCAATCACCCAAAGCAAAGTCTCCTTTGTTCTTCATTTATTTTTCCTGTTAATCCTCACCTGAGGATATTTTTTTCCCATTGATTTTTAGAGAGGTAGAAGGGAGGGAGGGGAAAGAGGAGTAAAAGGAGGAGGGAAAGAGAGAGAGAGAGAAAGAGAGAGAGAGAGAGAGAGAGAAACATGACATGAGAGACATGTGGACTGGCTGCCTTCCACATAGAATTAAACCCGCAACCCTTCATTGCTTGGGCAGATCCTTTAACCACTGAGCAACACCAGACAAAGCTTGGACCCCATTTATCCCTTCTTTGTCCACCTCTACCTATCCTCACCTCCCCTTTTTTTCTGGCTATCACTCTACACTGTTGCCTGTGTCTATGTATTATACATATACAAATACATACATGCTTTCATGCTTAATCCTTTCACCTTCTTTCACCCAGCCTCCCAACAAACCCCTTGCCTCTGACAGCTGTCAGTCTGTTCTGTGTAACCATACCTGTTTCTATTTCGTTTATCAGTTTTATCTTTCTAGTTACTAGTACACTCATCCTTTCAAAATTTGCTTAATAAAAAGGGACCAGCTTTTTAAAAAATTTTACTTGAACATGTCCTATAACAACAAATGTGAAATTTTCACTGCCTATTTAGAATTTCAATCTTAAAAAAACAACAGCTTAGCTACCAGTTTCGAATTTGGTGCTAAGACTATCTGGAAGGAGCACAGCTGTAAGCATTCAATACTCCAAAAGCTTCAGTGATAAATAATTCAATCGTCTATTTCACATATGAATTGCCCAAATCCAAAAGCCACGGAAATAATAAAACTCAGCAAGGATATGGAAATTTTTTTCAGACAGGTAAAAGCCAAGCAGGTATCACTTTCTCACTGTGTATGGGTAGGTGAAAATGTAAGTAAGGAAAGAAAATTCTTTCCTTTGGATTCTTATGTATAATGAACTAAAATGGCCCCACTTTACTATCCCATTCATTAAAAATTCTTTTCCACTGAGCCCTGCCACATAATCTCCATATAGGTCACCAAATATTAATGTTTAGGACAAGTATAAGTGGATATAATTATGATAATAAAAAAATTACTACAATTTAATTTACTCTTCAATAAAATTTAAACTATTCCAGAGATGAGTGACATAGTTTTTTACTGCTGACTGTAACTCTTATAAAAGTCACATAACAGCCATCGATCATTAGCCTACTTTGTGACTTAACCCTATGATATTACCCCCTATAATGGTGAAGTGATGATAGACCACAAGATAATTAGACCCCCAAAACATTCATTAGATAAAACATTGCTAATGGAAAAGAAATCAGTGAGTTTAGTGTGTGGGAGATTAAAAAGAACCCCACATCCTTTTAATTTCACTCAAATGAAAAGAGAAAAAAATTTTCAAATTGAAGGTTGCAGCAACCAAAAAGTTGTACAAAAAGCAGGATGAGGTATAGGAAGGAAATCCATTTTCATGTTTCAATTATTTAATTGTTTCAATGTTCTCAATCATATTATTGTCTATCTGAAAACCAAATTATATTTATGTAATAAGCCTTAAATAAACATGGAAACAATGTTATATTATTTGGTTTTCATATTTTGTCCCCAAAATTTAAACAAGAAAATAGAAATGAATAATAAAAGTAAAAAACATATGTGAGATTTAAAACTTTATCAGATATCTTTGAATAGAAAGTGATCAATGCACTGGAAAATTTTCTATTTGAAACTTTGTTTAGTACAGGAAGCTAACCCAACAAGTATCCAGAAGTTTGATATCTAACATTTGTGACACTAATTTTAAATGATATAGTATGTTAGAGAAGTATTGCAAAAGTTGATAGAAGATAGTAATAGTATGTAAATTAACATGATGAAATTATTTTACCTAAAACATCATTCACAACTACAGAAATGACTGTTGCATAGCTATCAAAATAGTTCTTAAAATCTTTTGATTAATACTTTAGAGGAGTGTTAAAACTTTGTTATATAAGTAAAACATAATTCTAGATTTCTAATATTATATGTGCCATGTTCCATAAATTATTTCAGGGCCATTAGCCTTTTTAAAAAGATTATCACCAAAGGTAAAAATAATCAAGAGTCCCTAGTTCGTTGCTCAGTGGTTAGAGCTTGGGTGTAAGCACCAAAGGATCTTGGGTTCAATTCTGGTCAAGGGCATGCATGTACCTTGATTGCACATTTGATCCATGGTCCCAGTCATGGAGTATGTGAGAGGCAACCAATCAATGAGGGAAAATAAATAATTCAATCGTCTATTTCACATATGAATTGCCCAAATCCAATATATAGGTTTAAACCATGCATTATAAACTTTTAGGCTATAAGTTCTGTTTTGTTTTGTTACAAAGGTGATATATGTTCATAAGAAAATAATTTAATGTAAGTATGTGAGTATATAAAGTATATATACACATATATATACAAAGGGGTAATATGCTAAGTGTCTGTCTCGGTAATGACATCACATAGCAACTCCTGGTTTCCTCTTTCTAGTGACTAGCCTCCTTAGAGTTTCTTCAGCCCAAGAACATGACTTGCTTCACAGCCAAGTGGGAACATTTTACCAAATGTCTGTGAAGTGTTTTCCAGTGCCTCAACTAATTTGATCCTCACAGAAGTCCTGGAGCAGATAGATAGGAGACTCGGTGGAATACTATTTTCATTACCTGGAAAACAGAGATTTAGAAAGCTTAGAAACTTGACCCTACTGAAAAGAAGAAATGGTGGACCTTGAAAATGACTTCAGTTTTTTCACTGCGCAGAATATAGATAAACACTGCTGCAGTGAAATATTTTACCCTTTGTTCTCCCTGTGTGATCTACAATAATAATCTGCTTCGTGTTAATATTTACTGCTGTGTTTCTGACAATTACATGAAAGAGAAGTTGGGTGCTTCACTGGGCTGGAAAAAGTTTAGCTAAATCATAAAGCAGATCTAATTAAGCAAGTTTATTTATATATATATATATATATATATATATATATATATATATATATATATATATAAATAAAATTGGCTCACGCATGTGCAATACATATAAAGCTCTCGCTGGCGCCAAGTGCATGCATGTTTATATCTGTCATTGTTGATCATGAATTTGGTTAACACTTCTATTATAGAGAAATGGCGAATAGCAATATTAAAATATTTCTTGTAATTACTCACATTTCAATGTTCACAAATTCAAGCACCGGACTACTAATATCATAAAAAGAAAAGCACCACTACTCCACTCCACCAAACCAACACATCGTTTGGTATAAATATGTCATTTAAAAGTCCAACCAAATTCAAATACTAAGGCTCAAATGATAACCAGAATTTGCAGACTCTTATTTCTCTATCCTTCTATAAATATTAATTATACAAAATGGCATTAAATATAATACAAATCTGTATACAACTTAAGATATCAATAACAAGTAAAAGCAACAATATTAATGATATCCAACACCTATTTAAAAAAAAACACTTTAATTTGAACTATCACTGACAACTGAAAAATAGATGCTTACTGAAATTTTACTTTTTATATTACCTGTCCCGGTCCATGCTGACTGGCCATCAGTAAGTGTAACAGCAAAGCCAGATCCAAGTGTTTTTTCCCAACTGACTTGTAGAAAATGAATTCTATCAGGTTCAGAAGCAAGGCAGATTCTGATTACTTTTTTCTCCATTTCTGATCACCTATCATATAAGAATAAAATTAATATTTTAGCAAGAAATTATGACCATAAAACAGCAATGCTTTCTGTATTTGTTTCTCAGCTATAGCAACAAGAAAATAAGTTAAAAACAAAACAAAACTGTAATAGTTAGCCAACCACTAAACTCAATCAGTTCTGTTCAATCCTGATTCACTATTTTTATAGATATGAAAAGCAGAGGCCCATTAATGGCGAATGATTTGCCCAAATCATGAAGCTAAATAAAAATTACTATCTCCAATATGAAGAGTAAATTTTCTACAAGATCCAATAGCCTCTTTCTCTGTCTGAGAAAGACTATTTGAAATTATTTAAAACAGGCAATAAAAACAAAGATTAAGAAAAGAAATTTTTAGAATCAAAAGTTGGTAGTACCAAGTCAGTCATGCCTTCCCCAGGAAAGAAGTTACCAAGCTCAGTGACTCACTTGGTCCCCTGAGACAGGAATACCTTTTAATAGAGATGTATTATATGGAAGTATTCAAACTTAAAACCAATAAACAATTTTTTGTGTTTATAGTTTGGATTGAAGTATTATATACAGGGGAAAGTATACATATAAAAATACAACTTTATGAATATAATGTTGAGCAAATCCATGTAAGCAATATATAAATCAAGAATATTACCATCTGCCCTACCAGGTTTGGCTCAGTAGATAGAGCATCGGCCTGTGGAATAAAGAGTTCCAGGTTCGATTCCGATCAAGGACACATGCCCAGGTTGTGGGCTTGATCCCCACTAGAGGCCCGGTGCACAAATTCGTGCATGAGTGGGGTACCAATGGGGCACAATCAGCCCTATGGGCAGGTGGTGGAATGCCCTTGCCAGCCTGGGATCCAGATCCTTCCCACTGACATTCGCACTGGTTGCTGGAAGCCACCTTGAGGAGCATCTAGGGAGGGGAAGCAGCTGTGGTGCCCAACGCTGATTTCCAGGAGACCAAGAGCACTGTCAGGATGGTGCCCAAGATGCAGGTCTGTCAGTGCCTGCCCCGTTCTCCAGAGATTGGGCCTGCAGGACTAATGATGGAGTGAGTGGCTACCACTGGGCTGGTGGGTCACCAGGATGGGTCAGTCAGCTGAGCAGCACTCCCACTGTGGAAGCACACTGACCACCAGGGGATAGCTCCTGCGTTAAGCATCTTTCCCTTGGTGGTCAGTGTGTATCATAGCAATTGGTTGACCAGTCATTCTGGTTGTTCAGTTGTTTGGTCAATTAGGCTTTTATATATATAATAGAAGCCCATTGCAGGAAGATTCCTGCAAGAATAGATCTTTCTTGGGCCTATTCCTGAAAGAATAGGACTTCCAACAGACAGAGCCAAGTAGCAAAGGAAGCGAAATCTGCCAGCGGGCTTCGCTCCCTTCTCCACTGCCTTGCTCTCTACCTTCTCTACCACCTTGTTCCCTTCTGCAGTATCTGGCTTCCTTCTATGCCATCTTCAATCTGTTGTGTTAATTTGCATACTCACTCCTGATTGGCTGATGGTTGTGGCAAAGGGATGGTGAATTTGCATGTTTCTCTTTTATTAGTGTAGAAGACTAGAGGCCCTATGCATGAAATTTGTACAAGAGTAGGCCTTCGTTTCCCCTGCTGCCAGCACTGGTTTTCCTCTGGCACCCGGGACTGGGGATTCCTAGCCTCTGGCCGCTAGCAGGCACCTGGGACCCGGACTTCCCTCACACCCACACCCAGCTTTGTCCAGAAGGATGCCCAATCTAATTAGCATATGACAGTTTTATTATAAACACACGGCATATTTTATTTTCTGTCTGGCTTCTTTTACTCAAAATTATATTTGAGAAATTTATGCATATTTCTTAAGAGTTGTATGAAGATCATGTATACTATTCCATTATGTATAGTATAATTTGTTGATCCATTCTACTAGTGATAGACATCTGAATACATTCCAGGTTTTGACTATCACAAATAGTGCTGCCATAAACATTCTAGCAAACACCTACAGCGTATATACATATGGTCAGTTTTAGTACTATACAGACAAAAATTTTCTAAAAAGTTTGTGCCAATATATACTTGGTATAAGAAAGCTTGCTTGACATCCTTGCAAACATTTCTCATCTTTTTAATTTTAGCCATTTTAATATGTATGCAGTATATTATGGTTTTAATTATTATTCCCAGATGAGAAATAATATTGTGTACTTTTTATATATTTATTGGGCATCTGAATATCAAGTTTTGTGCAGCAGCTGTTCAGTTGTCTTTTTCTTATTGATGTCCTTGTTTTTTACTTGTTCTTTATATCGTGGGTACTAATCCTTTTATAAATATACTAGAGGCCTGATGCACAAATTTGTGCACAGGTGAGGTCCCTCAGGGTGGCCTGCGGGAATCTGGTCCCAGCTTGTACCCCCAGGCTTGCAGTCCCTGCTCATGACCACAGCCTTGCAGCCCCACGACCCTGCAGCCCTGCCTGGCAGCCCACCATGGTCTGGTGCCACCCCCTCACCTGCTTTACCACCCCCACCGGATGATTGATCAGGGCCTGGACCCCCACCGACTCCCTCAGTGCTTAGAAGCCAGGCAGCGGCCCCCAACCCACTGCTGCCACTGGTCGCCGCAATAGGGCCCCGCTCGCACCAGCCTTGGCCTCGTGCAGCCCACTCACCTGTCCCACCATCCTGCCACAATTCCCCTCTCATCGGGACCCATCTGGGCCAGCAGCACCTCCACTGCCGCCTGCTGCCAGAACCACATCTCCAGCACCTGCCATGTTCCATACCATTCCCAGTGGTTGACACACATCATAGTAAACAAACTCCCAGTCGAACAACTATCCGAGGGGACAAATTGCATATTAGGCTTTTATTATATAGGATGTACTGTGAATATCTTCAACTCTGCAAGTTACCTTTTCATTTCCATAATGATATCTTTGCCTGAAATGTTCTTAATTTTAATGAAGTTACAATTTACCAAAATATTTATGGAAATACTTTTTGTGTTCTGCTTTAGAACTCTTTGGGCACTAAGATGTTCTCCTATGGCTATTTCAAAGCTTTATAATTTTATCTCTTACATTTAGATCTGCAATTGATTTCTGTGCATTGTATCCAGGAGGAGTCAAAATATATTTTTTTCACGTGGATATCAAACTGATCCAGTACTATTTATTAAAGACTATCCTTCCCTGACTGCACTGCTGAATCTCCTTCATCTTCAGTCATGTGACTGCATATGTATATAAGGTTCAATATTGTTTGTTTCTGCAGGGATGCAATTTTATGTTTTACTAGAGGCCCAGTGCACAAATTTTGTGTACACATAGGGTCCCAAGGCCTGGCCAGTGATCCAGGTCAATCATGGTCTTCCAGCTACTGGCCAGTTCCTTCCTGCATTCTGTGCTGCCCCCTGGTGGTCAGCGTACATCATAGCAAGCAATTGAACTCCTGGTCGAACTCCCAAGGGGACACTGCATATTAGCCTTTTATATGTATAGAAGATATCTGGCTTATCCAGTTTACATTGAATAATGATTCTGTTACTGTGATCCAACATATTATATCTTCCTGATCTTCCATTTAGAAATTTAATAATCCTTCCTCCTAAGTATTAAAATAACTTATGTAAAATTTTATCAGGACAAGCTTGAGCATAGTCATCTGTGGCTTACAATAAGAAACAAGCCTCTCATAGACATCAATCAATACTCAGTAGGTATATTGCTGTTATCTCCATTTAAATCACAAGGATCCAGGGAAGTCCTTTGTAAAACCTACCTACTCCACAAGTCTAGCAATACTCTGTTTTTAAAAGGAGAATAAATTAAGACTTGAGACTTTTTTTAGTGATTCACTCTCATTTTGGTGTGTGTTTTTTTTGTGTGTGTGAAAAAACCATTCTTCTGGAAATTCACTCTAGAACCTTGCCCTGCTGACCTCAAACTTATCAGACTACAATATGACACATTTTATTTCGTTCAAAGGAAATCACATTTTTCTAATACTAGAATATCCTTTGACCATGTCTCTTCATTGGATGTATAAGCTGTAGAAGCAAAAAAGCAAAACTAAAGAAATGGCCTAAAAATTACAAATACGTAAAGAATAAACATGATAAAAAGTCAAATCCAGGAATAAAGCACAAACTTCAAAGATAGAAAACTAAAGAGAATTATCTTTTAATTACATAGCATGAATCTCTGACTAGATGGTCCTAAAAAAGATAAAAGGATATTCTGTAACCTTTTATTTGGGGAGAAGAATGTAAATTTGCTTCGAATTTTTTGACCAATAAATATAGCATGCTACAAAAATCCAAAAATAAATTACTGTCATTTCATTGACAACTGACTACATTTTAATAAGAGCAAATTTTTACATCAGAACTTCTACTTTCCTTTTTCAATTTAAAACTATTATGTTCTTATAAATGAAGCATCATTAATTAATTAACAATGAATATAAAAATAAAAACAACTCACTCTGTCAACTCCTCACAAAACAACAGTAGTTTACTATAGATCTCTGTCTTTTGGAAGTGGAAAAGATGCTTAATAGTAGAATGTTAAAGTTATATAAGGAAGTCAAGAAAGTTTCATAATAAAGAGAAAAATATCTAAAATTAAGAATCCAAAATACTTCCAAATTGATGAGTAAGAAGTAATTCTTAATTTCTATCTAAAGTTTATTCAGAAAAATATTATTCTTCCCAGTAAAAAACAAAATTATAAAATATTCATACTTCAGTCATCTCAATTAAGCATGTTGACATTTCAAACATATGTAAATTTGTAATACTAACATCAGAATCACTAAAAATATATATAATAATTTTTAAATATTTCATTTAGTCCAAATTTTTCCTACATCAAGGCCATTATTGCCTATATGTGCTTAACTCTGAAGTGCATTACCCATTTAGGAATAATGCTTTTAGATCAATTAGTTAATACACTTAACATGCAGTGAATTACTCACATGCTCCATAATCCTTAAATT